GTGAAAGTTTCATAAAATTTCATTCAGTGGTATAAGAGGAGTTGCGGATAAGAGATGGGTACCTCAAAGCGTGACAGACAGACGGACGTACAGACGGACATAACAATTACTATATACCCTCCCGCTTTTCAAGCAGGGAGTATAAAAACAACAAAGCCATGATTGATCATCAACATAAAAGCATCAAAATAGGTATTGTTAATTTAAGCTTGTTCACATCGTGACAGTTGGGAGGACAGAGGAGCCATAGAGGAATGTTAAGGCTTTATCAATAACAATTTTCATCTTATAAACAGCAAAGCCATTATGTGTCATATTAATTCAAAAGCATCCTTAGGAAGAGTACATGTAGATTTAAGTTTGTTCAAACCCCCCTTCCTCTGAACCCAATGTTATATTTAAACTTTTCAATACTGAACTGATTTTTGCTTTTACCTAGCCAGTTGCTCAGGTGAACGATGTGGCCTCTGGGCCTCTTGTACTTTAATTTTAGTTACTGAAGTTACATTGTATGTTACATGTACTTATAAATCATACTTATTACCTGTGTTGAGAAAGTTGTGTATTATAAACCGAAAAGCGGTTTCTGAAGAAAGCAGTTACTGTTCCAACACATCTGGTTAAAAATGTACGTATGGTTTTTATGTGAAATGAGAATTTGGCGGAGGCCAAAATGCCACTTTTGAAGTGGCAGAATTAATCAGCACAGTGTTACAAGTATAACATAAGACAGATAACAAAATGAAATTTGTTCTACTTTAAGATATAATGAGAATTTATACGATTTTTTAACCTTAAGTAGTCTGCTTTCCGACCATCATCACTACGTTTTCATTTCCTTTAGTGAGGACTTAACTTTATCTAGCTTTCTATCCTCTGAGTTAGTGATCTTGATATTCACGACTTTATATCGAATTTCTGGGGTTTGATTCAATTTTCAAGTTAGTAATAACAAGCATACAATTTTTTTTTGCATAGAAGCCATTTTAAGAAAAACAATTTTGGTGATATCATATGACAGGTGCACGGATTATTGATAAATTGAGGTTACATGTGCCAAAGGTTTGAAGTTGTAATGATTGTACAAAATGTTGGCTAAAACAGAAATTTGTTCGCTTATTTACATGTATACATTCCTTATTAAATCGTAGTGTATATTCTGTCTGCCCTAGTTCGTATTTTTCGGTGTACAAATGACTTTTCTTATTCGAAATTTAATTAAACCCATCGTGAAATTAAATTCGTTAAAACAATTCTTAAATTCTAACCTTTAAATAACATTCGAATTTAAGGTACTATTAATAATAAAATATTTGAGTACAGTACAATTTTTGTAATTATAGTATAAGTGTAGATGCATTTATTAATCAAACGAATTTATTTCATTCATTTTTTTTAAATTAAAAAAATAACGAGTTACCTGTATACAAATCTGCTATAATAGACCGAATTTGTTATGAATTCAAAAAAAAGTAAACGAATTAAATTCGTTTTAACTATCAACAATTTGCTAGTAACATCAAATTTAAAGTATTTTTAATAGGTTTTAATGAGCTTCCTCAATAAGGGAATTATATTGGATGAAAAGATTTCATACAATCATATTTTAAATATTTTAAGCTTTTGAATATCAAAGATACTGCTGTTCAAACAGCTTCAAATTAGTTTACTTCAATTTGTTTTGATAAAATCTCAAAAGTTAAAATTATAAATCTACCATATTTCTATGGTATATACATGTAACATGTAACATCTCATGTACATGTAACGGATGATTAAATACTTTATATTCTTGTGTTACTTTTAAGTTATTTATGAGAGAAGCCAGCGATATGAAGAGTTAATGGAACGCTAATGACATCTTGGCTCAAGTCCTTTTTTCTGAATACTAATTAACGTCTTCTTTACATTTACTTTAATTTTACTTTTTTGAAAAGTGCAGTTTAACCCCGCCGATGACACAGAAAATCTCATTAACTTCATAAGAAGACGGTTACATAATTAAACGTTTGTGTTGCAATCAAAATGCAAGATTTTAGTCAAATTGTTAATAAGGCAAACCTATCAATAATTGAAATTGTGATAAATAGTCTAGAAACAATTGGGCGTGCTTACTGCACAAACATGCAGTTTTATGTGAAAAAGAAAATAACCATCGAAATAAACATCTCTTTAATTGAGGAGACCATGTAACATTCATTACGTAATATCTCTTTAAATTTGATTATGAGAAAAACCGCTATTTATCAAATTTCATTTTTGTTTTTTTTTCCCTTTTTTATATTCAGTCAAACTGAATTTATGGTAAACTTAAACTGTTTTAGGATAGAACATCTCAAAATTAAACAAGACTATCCAAAATCCCTCGATCATACCCAAAACAGAACTTGACCTCGATATTTCCATGATAAATCTGTATAGCAAATTATATTTCAATATAAACAACCTCTGCAAAGGAAAATGGAACAGAAACTGCAAATAACAAATAAATGGAATCTTTGTAAGTCAAGGGCATAACTCTGTCCTAAATGGCTTTATCGTACTGAGAACAGAACTTGACTTAGATATTGTTATGATAAATCTGTATACTAAATTTAATTTCAATATGTGTAACCTCTGCAAAGAATATGAGCGGAAACTGCAAATAATTGGAATTTTTCTAAGATATGTATAAAGATATGGAGAGAAGGATCATACTAGGCATTAATGCCTGCTGTTCAATCCATTTCATTAATTTGAAGAAATATATTATAAATCAGAATCTATCTATGGCCAAGGGACATTTTCTATGTCCAAGGAACATAACTCCGTCCCAAATGGCTCGATCGTACCCTGACAGAACTTAATCTAAATACCGTAAACCCAATTTTTTTTTCGCATGCGAAAATTTCTCGCAAGGTTCGCAGCAGCAATATTTCTCGCCGCGAACCGTTCCTAAAAGTCTCTGCGTCATTCGATAAGAGATCCAAAAAAGCTTGATCCCAAAAAATTAATCTTTGCAAACTAGTTTACCCCCGGTAGTCTCGAAATAAAGTTGGTAGTATTCTTATGATAAATCTGTATACCAAATTTCATTTCAATATGTGCAACTTCTGCAAAGAAATTGAACGGAATATAGTGTTGCCTATACAATCCGTTTGGAATAAACTGCCAATAAATTGCAAAATCAAAAATTTTAGCATTGTAAATTAAAAAAAAAACAATTAGAAACCAGTTTAGAAATTACAAGGTCATTATAATTTTAAATATTTTTCATATATTACGAAGATGCAGAAAACGGTTATGTAAGGAACGTATTGTCTGACTGCTTATATATTTTTTTTTCTGAAAACGGAAGGGGAACACGCAGAATGCTGCAATGAGGTTGTACAATATTAACCTTGATTAATAAAATAGACATTAATTTAAAAAAAGTGAGGGGAAAATATACTTTAAAAACTGTTTTCCAATTCCACTAAATTTTGGGGGAAAATAAAATATTTGTTGACACATTAAAATATTTGATAAAATTGAGATTTAAACCGAAAATACAATTTAATGTTAACAATTATGTTGGCAGTTTTGTTTGTTTATTTTAACTCAATATCAACCTTGATCTTCTATGTAACAAATACGTAATGCTTAATTCTAAATCTTGAAAAAATCATTCTAAAAATAGATATCTGCGGTCTAAAAACTTTTTGATTGACTACATGAATATGTAAGCATTTTCGTGGAAATTGATACAAAGGGAACTTTTGTGATTGGTTTACATGCATGATTTGGTTGATAAAAGTTTCCTTGTTTGCCAAATATTCAAATTAATGGCTCAAATGTCTTCTCTGCTAATTGTGTCTTACATGTAACAATAATTTTACTTCACTTACGTTAACCTCGAAAGATTTTAAAGCTTGTTTAGGTCTCATAAGTCATTTGTGTTTTATATGCTTTAGACCTACATGCATTTCTATATTAACATGACATTGTACAGATCCAAATATAAAATTTCAAAACCTCATGTAAAGTTGATTGCACGAGATGGCAAACTGTACAGCTATAATAAAACATTAACAGTTTATGTAACAACTTGTAATCAAGATCATCACAGCAAGATAAAACGATTCTCCATAATTTCATTACACTATATACAATCTTTTTACACAAACTTCGACGTTCGCAAACAAACTGTATGCAGAACTTAACCCCCTCCCCCTAGACTTCCTGAAAATTTAAATCGCTATACATTTGTATTGTATTAGAATTAAATAATGATCTTGATTCGGATGTTATCTTCCCATCACATTCACTTTATGTGAGAAGTTTTAGGTTGACTATTTTATCTAATTCAGCCATATTCAAAGTATATTTGTTGATATGTCTTATATATTTAGATGTACAGTGTAAGAGATTTAAATGACCATGTTTTTCTCCACAATTATACAAATCATTTTATATCATTTTTGGTCACTAGAAAATATCTGGAACATTGAATTTAGTTAGAATGTTTACGCAATTAAAAGAGGTGAAATTTTTAAATGTAAGTTAAATTAATACACTTGTAATAAGGGATTAAAGTTTCAAAATATATCAAATGAATAAGATTTTTCACATAACTTTTATACATATAAATAATTTAAAATTAGAAAAAGTCAACATATAAATATAACAAAAAAAAAATTTAAGAAAAGTAAAATCAACAAATATCCATTTTATGATAAATCAATATATCAAATTGTATAACAAAGAAAAACATTAATCTTTTGAATTACAAGTAGGGATCCAAGGAAACATTTTTTTTTATTATTATCACAATATTAAACGCAAAAGTAATAGGATATTGTTTGTTCTGTGAAAATTTTATTAATTTTTAAATGCAAGAAATGTTAGAGAAGAATCCTATCTTAAGAGATCAGGAGATAAGTATTTGAAAGAAGTAATATTAATATAAATAGTTTATTCAACAAAAAACATAAAATAAAATCAACCAGTGATAAATCAAAATACTAACTGTATAACAAAGCTTAATATTCCCAAGGCCATTTCTTATTATAATCACAAGCAAAAGTGTTTTGTGACAACAAATCACCACCGAGAGCTTCCTTATATGTAGATCTATACATTTCTGGGTGAGCAGCAGAGATCTTAAACGTCCCAGAACAAGCTTTATATTTCTGTTGTCCTTTGGTTTCCGTCAAACACAGAGGGCGACATGGTCTTCCACAAGAGTCATGCGCAGTGAACAGAACCTCTCCTTCACCATAATCCGGGTTCTTTATCCCTACAGCAGCTGTAGTAATGGAAACCGGTTGCCTTTCATCTATTATCACAAATTCTTTATATGAACCATAATAATTCAAACCATTAGAAGCTACAAACACTTTTGAAGCGCCTGATTTAGCTGCTTGGCAAGTGTCTTTAGACAAATCTACATTTTGAAGTATCGTTGGGTCGATACCGGCTACATTGGGAGATCTAGTATACATGATACGAATTGGCACGTAGACCCATCTCTTTAGATCTACTTTTCCATCCAGTAAAAAGGTATTAGTAAAGGATCGTTGAAGAGAAGAAACGGGCTGGTGATGATCACTGCTAAATGTACTGTTTCGAGATGCTTCAGAGATATCACGTCGAACACGTGCGTTAACAACTTGTCTGACCTGTGCTCTGGCAGCCTGTATTTGTGGGGAAACAGGAGCTGTTCCAATGCTGCTTTGTCGATTCCGTGTATCACGAACTGGCGAGGCACGGAACTTTGGACCAGCAGGTATAGGTCCTGCAGCCTGAGCAGCGGCCATAGATTGTGAGGTTACTTGTGATGTTGCAGTGCGACTAAATGCAGCGCTTCTAGATGCAGCACCAACTTGAAACATTTGCTGACGTGCACCTCTACGTTCTCGTGATACACAGACTGGTTGGGGCCGACTCCTGTCGCAATACAAATGGGGACTTCGATTACATTGATTTCCACATGTTGGGAAAGGTTCGTATCTTGCAAGATTTGCTATGAAATTTAACATGGCAAAGCTATTCGGTATTTGATTAATATATGGTCTGAAATCTATCAAATCATTCGGACCGTGTCCAACTGGAAAAGTGGCGGGGTAATCTGTTTCTGGATTTATTCCGTTAGCCCTTTGTTGTTCTCGAAATCTTTCCCAGACAGCATCAACGAATGCATGGTGCATGTAAAACACTGGATCATATGGCGCAGTGTTCAGGCTAGAAATGTGACCTCCAACCCATACATGTGGGCCATTATGGTGACCTTCCAAACTGTACATATATTCTGCTCCTTGTTTTGGCTCCATTATGTCCTCGTAATTTGTTTGACTAAGAACTGCTCTAAGACCTTCTTTGGTGAACAAGGCGCTGTCACCTACAAAGTAAATGAAATGGTCAGATATTTGCGCAGAAACAAGATATTCAGACAGACCGATGGAGAAAGGAAAAAAATGTCAAATAATTCTTGATTACGGGGCATAAAAGCATGCATGTAAATATTCTTTAAGGTTATCTTTACGGGACATTTTTTTCTACTAACCTGTTCCTATGTTTCTGATTACTGAACCCCCGAGAATTGTACGCATATTTCTAAAAGGCCCGCTGTTAACAACTCCGTCGCCATTTCCAAAGAACTGGTCGCTCCAAAGAACAGACAATGTCGGGTCCTGCATATCATGATCCACTGAAGAATCCCAATAAGGAACAGGAACTCCACATGCTGACTCTAAACTGAAAACAGGGACAATCCAATTTATTGGATGTAACTCTGTATATATTCAAAATCAATCTACATCATACATGAATATACACTTAGAATGCGGTATTAACATTGAATCACTTGAAACATCATATGGGAAGATTTCAAAGAAATAGTTTGAAAGTTGTTTTTTAAAAAAAATAATAAAATTGATGATATATGTATGAATAAACTAGAAATTTAAGCAAGACGCTTTACATCGAAATGACGATAAGGATTATTAAATGTAAGCATGCATGTATGAGAAATGATTTAGATTCCAGACTAAAAGAAAGCATGCTCAAAAGGTGATGTGTGTTACACTGGGTATTAACTTTATTTACATTTTTGCCATGCGGCAATATCATGAACAGAACATAATTTCGTGTTAATCTTAATTCATACAAGAAAAGGTTTAATTTATACCTGAATAAATTTTAATGCCAAAGTCAAAATAGTCTAGTCTAGAAAATTGTGTTAATAGTTTTCGATCATTAAAGATTACATATTTATTATATAAAGTGGTGAAATAAATTAAATAAGCCCTCGAACATCAGATGTAAATTAGAAATAACTGCCATTTCGGAAATATGCAAAATTAATTGTAAAAATATTAATATACGCCATTTACAAAGCTTAAATAACTTACAGCAGCAAATATATTCTGTGCCAAGGAGTGAAACCAGGTCCATCATGAGCCGTCCCCAATGCTGGTCCGGAGTGAAAAACAGCCAGGGTTTGATACGTGTTGCGCCCGGTACTACGAGGTTCTACGAACTAGAAAATGTTCATCTTTGTTATTTTACTGTTGATTAAATTTATTCGTTCATATTTTTATTTAATGTGCATGTAGGCATATTATAGACGTTGGTTGTACAAATTCAATTATAGAAACTTTATTTCACAAATATTTTTCATTAATATTTTTTTTTTCATATTTTGATTGGACTTAATTAAGCTATGACTCAAAATCAATGTTGTCATCATATCTTTGCCTCATACTTAGATTTAATATCTCTGGATATGAAACTTTGCCATACATTTTACTAACTCTTTAATAGTAGTAATAAATCTTCTTTTTTTTTTTGTTTGCTTAACATGAAATTCTGCAAAATAAAAAGTTTTCCCTACTTACTAATATCAATTACCTTAAACTCGATCATTTCATGATAACAAATACCTTGACCTCTATCATTTTATATCAATATCCTTGACCCTGATCATTACATTCCTAAATTGTTAGGCTTTTCGATGATTTTTGTGCTATTTATAATAGGAACTAATAAGACTTGAATATACTTGCATGTTTGAAAATGTATTTAAATGTACCTGATTTTGAAGTCGGTTTATGCAATTTGCGAACCGCCGAAAAGCATTCCCACTGCGCACTTCCTGTCTGTATCGCCACGGACGGGTTGCTTGTCTTTTGTGACGTCCACCTTTGTAGTAAGCTTCAATTTCTCTGGCTTCAGTAAATATTTGCCGGAATAAGCCATCAATGTAGTTAATTCCTTCTTCTGTAATGTTAGGACCAGACCAAATCTTACCAGCAGCTATTTGCTTGTATTCGTAATTTCTAAAGCAAAAGTTCTGAATTCTAATGGCAGCCGAGTCTGATGGCGTCATGTTAAAGGAACGGAATTTGTAACATTCTTGTAAATCGTTAGGAAGAGGGATTGGCTCTAGAAGTGAGTGTGCTAGTCCTAGTACGCCAAGAAACGTTGTGATAGAGAAAGGATCAATTCCAAGCATATTCTTCCTAAGTTTTGTAAATATAAAAATGTTGATTAAAGATAAAAAATTTAAAAGTTTCCATACCATTCAGAAGATTTATCAAATAGCTGTGCGTGTATTTTCGAATTCCTATGATTGACATAATGAAGAGTAAACTTTCTCGTTTCTTTTTGCTACAGTCAAATGGTTTTGATTTGAAAAGAATTTTTTCACGATACAAGTGGATACTTATAGTTTAAATTAATCTCTTAGGTCAGGGCAAATTACTGCATAAACTTTAGCGAGAAGCACTGACTTTTACAAATTACTATTTACTTTGACTTTTCAAACCTGTATCATGTACAGAGGTACAAATGTGATTATAATGCTGTCAAATAAATTTCGGGGGGGGGGGGGGTTAATTTTCGTTGTTTTCGAGGTATGGAGAGACCACCACGAAATGTAAAATTTCATATGCATTACTACTAAACATTTTCCAACCACGAATTTAAATCCCCACAAACCAATATTTTTTCCTCGAACCTTGAAAGTTTGACTCCACGAAAATATGTGATTTTACAGTAGATCAGGAAACCTGTATAGTGGTCATAGATATGGCATTAGAGGAACTAACATGTGAAGGCCGAGTTGAGGGTAGGATGGATATCATTTCCTTCAAGGACAACTTATATATGCTTTTAAGTAACCCATTATTTTCATGGAATGAAGTGTTGAGCAAAATGTCTATATCGTAAAAGAGCTTCCGTACATCGTCTTGGTGTAAAGGTAACCCGTCCTCTTTTACAGTCAGAACTCCTCGCAAAAGTCCACTAGAAGACTATGTCCTACCATTTTATATGCTTAAGGAGCTATATCCTACCAGTTTATATGCTTAAGGAGGCATTCAGAAGAAAAAACAAAACTTTTGCAAGAAAAAGAAAAGAATACGGTATGCCTTTTACCATATTTAAAGGGACATGAACATAATTTCCATTTAATTTTTAAAACAAATTCAAGTATTTACAATTTCTATTTAAGGCATTATTTATGATCAGCAAAAAATTTGAACATCATTTGTTGATTAACAGACAAGATAGAGAACTTAAAGTTCTTCATAATATAAACAAGGCTCGTGTTTTGTTTTTCTTTACATATAGAAAATATATCTATACCAAAGTGTAATTCAGCAAATCACTAGAAACTGTCAAATCGTGTTTAGAAATAATTTCTCTATTGAAATTAGCTACTTTGAAGGAACATATAAGTATATTAACCTTTGTAAACAATAACATGACACAGACTCTGTTTACATAACAAATGTATAGAGCTCTAAATATGTCTTGCATCTCGACATCTGACGTTCAAATTTTTGATGATCATTAGAAAGATCTTAGTTAAATATTTTTAAAAATGGAAAAATAAATATGAAAATTTTTTTAATGAAACTTGTCCATGCCCCTTTAAAAAAATTTTTTTTTTCGACGTTAAACTTTTAAATACAAAATATTAAAAGTATTTCTAATGAATAATTTGATGCATAAAAAATATTTAGTTGCAAATTGACTGAAATAAGATTGATAGGGTTATTCTCGATTGAGTCAATATGATTTACAAATAATTCAAAAGTAAGAGTTATTTTACAATAATATTGATCACAATTTAAGTACCAGTATTTATAATATTAGAGTGCGCGTATTTTTTTTAATTACTGTATAAAAATACATGGTATTCTTATCAAATCAAGTTTTATGTATATGCATTCTTACATACACCTGTATATCGAAGATATTTTATGTCTTCCTTACCTATTGCTATCTCCTCAATTAAAACACATCACCATACAAGCTGGTATTTATAGCAGTGCTCCGGGGAATTTCAAAATTTTGAATAATTATTATTTGAATAATTATTAAAGGAAGAAGTGCATTTTCCAATGTACTGGGCGGTACATATGAATTTGTTAACTTTATATTAAGCAATTTGTCAACAAATGTTTTAAGTCAGGTGATGAGATTTATAAATTACCTTTGTTTAATTAATGAATGCACTCCTTTGCAAACATATGCATTAATTCATAATTAATATCAATCTCGTGTGACGTATGAAAAAAATAGACATTTTTCGTAAATAATTTATATCAGTGTGACGCAGGATTTTTGGAAAATTATTTAAGCGGAATTTCTCTGATTTTTTTTAAAAAGAAAAATCCCCCAAGAAAAGCATTCGTAATTTCCTTTATTATTATTACAAAATGTTTAGGGAATGAAGGGTAAAGCTTAACTCAGAATTTGTCTTTATAATTTTTCTTACCAGTTTAACCACAACCTAGTGGAAATATTTTTTATCATATCCTCTTTCTGTGATTTCAAAGAACAAAACAATTTTCATGTGAAAGTTTTTAGGATAATATGGTGGACATATTGTATTAATGTTGTTTTAAATTCACATTGTGCTGACTTCCACACAAAAAATACGGATTGCATATATTAACCGATTCTAATTCTCCGTGCGTATGTGTATTTTTTAAAAATATTTTATTGTATACAAATGTATAAACTGATGATTAGAAATCAGCATATATGTATCAGTAGCTACAAATTTTAGATATTTGAAAATATTGACTGAAAAAAAATTAAATGAAGACGATCGACATCCCTGATTTAAAACCTAAATCAAACGTATGTCAAATGCAAGCGTTTAAAGCTTTCTTCCATGGCGCCAGGAAATTTTTTTGTGTTTATAAATTTTACATAAGTTTACAAAATAGATCGGTCTTTTCTTGCAATATCAATCATGAATTAGTTAAAAAAAATAAAAACTGCATGAACTTATTTCCGAAAATATGCTTCGCATGTCAAATCAATTTATTTGCATTTCATTGCAGGTTGTCAATTGAATTCATAAATAAATCTTTGTTGAAGAATAATGTAACAAGAGGATGACATTCTTTTAGAATGATATCAGTCACATTTGATTGATTTCTATTTATAATGCACTGCTCAATGAAGATTGCTGATGCCATCGATAAGGACAAATATAAACAAGTAAATCGTTTATTGAGCTGTTTTATTATTATTATTATTTTCTTCTATATGAATAAATTATTACAATTTAATAAAAAAATAATAAAGTGAAGTAGCTTCATTGTATATTACAATACGGAAAAAATTAGTAAATCCACTGACTACTTTTAAAATCTTAAATTTTACCTGTTTGTGCTTGAATTAAAGATATGTGTCCATGTACATAGTACATGAACTTTGAATTCGTTGGCAGAAAACATGTTAACCAAATTAGCGGATTTAAGGAAAGATAAAGATTAAAGAGAATCAAATATTTTATTTTTTTTAAAGATATACTCAGTAGTTAGAAACATGCTTTGATAATATTAATAGTATATGGTTACTTCAACAAATAATATTTTTCACTAAATTCTAGTACTATTTTGTGTTTCAACAAAGAAACCAATTGTTTATTTATCAATTAGAAAATTCTCTGGCTTACAATAGTACGTGTTTGTCTGCTCTGCTTAAGGCAAGATGATGGGTTTTATAGGCTAGTACCTGCTAAGTTAAGGAATAAAAACACCTTTCTTTTAAATAACCTATCCTCTGAGTTTAATCGACATTTAGAAGATACTTGTATGCACTGCATACGTAAATTGTCTTTTATTTTCAAATTATCGATGACATTGTAGTAAAACTGACAGCTGAAAAACAAAACAATGAAAAAATTCGGATTTCTCCGACATGTACATATTAAGACGATTTACTGATGTGGTCTTATTTTTTTATTACATGTATCATTTTGGTTATATTATAGTATATTTATTGCATTAAATATTTGGCTGACACTTCTAACGAAGTAAATAGTATGATATAATGATATGGATAGCAGAATTGCAGATTCAATTGTCAAGAACAATAAGATATGTGACAATTCATGCCTACAATGTAGTTAATTCTAAAATTCCCAGGGCCATGATTTACTATTTCCACAAACAAAGGTGATAGGAGTTTGTGGATCCAGAGAAAATGAATCTACTGTATTGTGCAGTATCCAATCACCGGCCGTGGCATCTCTGTACGAAGGTTTATACATCTTAGGATTAGCTAACGAGATCTGGAAAGCTCCGGAACACGCCGTGTATTTCTGTTGTCCTTTGGTTTCCGTCAGACACAGAGGGCGACATGGTCTTCCACACGAGTCATAGGCAGTGAAAAGAACCTCTCCCTCACCATAATCCGGATTCTTTATCCCTACAGCAGTTGTTGTCGTAGAAACCGGTTGCCTTTCATCTATTATCACAAACTCTTTATATGTTCCAAAATAATCTAAACCATTGGAAGCTACAAACACTTTTGAAGCACCAGATTGAACTGTGTGACAAACATCCTTTGACAATTCTACATCTCCATAAAAGGTAGGGTCAACACCGTCGGCATTCAGAGATCTAGTGTGTACAACACGAACTGGAACATAAACCCATCGCTTAAGATCTCGTTCTCCATCAAGAATGAAAGTGTTTGTAAAGGACCGTTGAAGGGAGGAAACAGACTGGTGATGAACAGTTGTACCATTTTGAGATATTTTAGAAACATCCCGACGTTTTCGTCCTTGAACAACTTCTCTTACTTCCATCCTAGCTGCCTGGATTTCAGGTGCAACAGGAGCAGTACCCATAACCATTCCTCCATTACGCCTATCATTAAATGGCGCTGTGCGGAACTTTGGCCCACCAGGAATTGGCCCGCTTGCTTGAGCCATCATAAGTGATTCTGATGGCACTCGACGTAAAGGTTGTACATCTGGCCCTGACCCAAAACCAAAAGCAGCAGCCATACGCGGCTGTGCATCAGGCCGTTCTATAGATACACAGACTTGACCAGAAGCAGTCCTTTGGCAACGCAAATAAGGACTATTATTACATCTATTCGCACAGGTTGGAAAAGGTTCATATCTAACAAGATTTGCGACGAGATCCGACATAGCAAAAATATTAGTTATTGGGGCAATATAAGGTCTAAAGTCGATTATATCATCAGGACCATGTCCAGCAGGATGAGGGGGGTTGGGATAATCTCGTTCCGGATTAATCCCATTGGAAACTTGCTGGTCTCGAAATTCTTCCCAAACGGCATCAATGAAAGAGTGATGCATGTAAAAGACCGGATCGTACGGTGCAGTATTTACTCTTCCTAGATGACCTCCTACCCAGCTATGTGGACCATTATGATGGCCCTCCAAACTGAAAACATAGTCTTCTCCTACTTTAGGTTCCGTAATGTCTCCATAGTTTCTCTGACTCAAAACGGCCCTGAGACCCTCCTTGGTGAAGAGGGCGCTGTCACCTAAATATACATTATCAGTGAGCATATATCTTGTCTTTCAACATGTTAAAAAGAAAAAATCTTAGTCATGATTATTATTCTTGTCAATGACATTGGTTACCATCTTTTTTTTCCTTTCAGAAAGTTCATAATTACTTTGACTTTGCAACAGCATCGAATTAGAACATAAAACAAGTAAAAACTTGTTAAAGATAATCAAGCATGCTGTATTTCTTTCAACAATTATTTCAATTTAGACCAACCTGTTCCAATGTTTCTGATTATGGGGCCACCAAGAAGTGTTCGCATGTTTCGGAAAGGTCCACTTGTGACTACACCGTCACCATTTCCGAGGAATTCGTCACCCCAAAGAATTGATAGGGTAGGGTCTTCCATCTCGTGATCAAGAGTAGAATCCCAGTATGGGATCGGGGATCTACATGCTGTCTCAAAGCTAAAGAAAACATAAACATAATAAGGAAAACATTGTTCATAATAGATATAATGTCTACTTCTATCTACATGTAGAAACATATGAAGAGTTCTTGAAAAAAATTATCTGAAAGAAATTTTATATCATTGTCACCATCCCGATGGACAACACGATGATGAAATCAAATATTTCTTGTTTACATGTAAGACCTTAAAAGGAAGGGAGCGGTATTTTCAATTTTGGCAAAGGATTTATACTCATTATAATCATACAAACAATTCAACTTCTGTAAAGAAGAAAGGTTGAATTTCGCCCATTTCAAAGGAACAAATAGCACTAGGTCAGAATTCACAGTGACTCCGGATCTTGTGACCTAAAAAAGAAATGTCTTTTCTCCCACTGGATGTAGATTGTAGAGGATTACATGCAGCTTTATTTTTCGGGCTTATATCGTTCTTTTTTCATGACTCCTTCAAAGCAGTTATACGTAGATTAATTTTCGGGATGTTTCATTTCAACATCTTTGCTGGCCAAGGGTTTCTGATACACTGCTCTCCTCTTTAAAACCCTAGGCTAATGGAGATGCATTTCAATAGAGTTTCCTCTTTTTTACAGGAAAAAGTCATACGTAGTTATATCAAAACAATATTGTTCCTTTTATAAAAGGCAGTGAAAACAGGAGATGTTTGTAAAAACACTTATGCCCACCTCCCCAAAATATTAGGAATTTTTCTAAGTCGAATGGCCCAACTCTGTCCAAAATGGCCTGACCGTACCCAAAACCAAACTTGACATAGATATTCTTATTATGCAACATCTGGGAAGAAAATGAACGGAAACTGAAAATTATTGGAATTTTTTTATTATTATATGTCCAAGGGGCATGACTGTCCAAAATGGTCTGATCGTACCCAAAATAGAACTTGACCTAGATATTCATTGAAAGGCTGGTCCCCCCCCACCAATTTTGCTAATGTGTTCTGAAATAAGGGAAATGTAGTATGTTGAGCAAAATATTTGTTACTGAAAAAAGTTGGTATTGAAAAAAAGTTGGCCTCTAACCCCATCCCACCTCCTCCTCCACTCACCACCTAAGTAGGATTTTCTAGTTTGGGCAATTTCTTCTTTTCTTTTCTTTTCTTTTTCTTTTTTTTTTAGCTTGTCAACTTTTTCAGCTTTCAGTAAAAAAATTTCTCTGGCTGCCCCCCCCCCAACTCTCAAAAAAGATGCTACATCACTGTTATGTACATGTATCTCAGTGTAGTCTACTTGCATGCAGCATTATATTAAAATCAGACCACAAACCTGTAGGAAGAGTACCATTTAAAAAGTATTTCACAAATTTCTGTATTTAATAACCACGGTAACACCGTTCATTATTATCGGAATCATGTATCTTAGTGTAGTCTGCTTGTGTGCCAGGTGATATTGAAATCAGACCAAAAACTGTAGGAGGATCTAGAATATTGAGATATTGTTTCCAGACAGACGGATGGACGGCGGACACATCACTATCACAAAAGCTCCTATAGTCACTGACCAGTAGAGCTAATAAAACTTACAGAAGTAAGTAAATCCTGTGCCAGGGGCCAAAAGCCGGACCACCGTGAGCACTGTCCAATGCTGGTCCAGAGTGAAAAACAGAGAGTGTTTGGTAGGTGTTTCTCTGAGTATTCTCTTCGATGGACTACAAAAAGTTATTAAAAAAACTTTAACACGAAAAAGAGTGATATCGAACACACCTTGCAGAAGATCGCGCAAAGCTTGATTCGATGACAGGCCATCATTGTGGGATTTTTCGTCTGTTGTACACCGACCCACATTTTTGAGGTGGATAGGTACATGTAGGTAGGTATTTTAATTTTTTTGCTATCTGACAAATTAATTACAATTTTCATAGAACAAAACAGACACTTAATAATTTATTGATGTTTTCATCATACACTGGAAACGACATATTTAATTTGATATTTATTACTTTTATATTTCGTTTTAATTACTTTAATAAATGCCCCCCTCTCTCTCTCTCTCTCTCTCTCTCTCTCTCTCTCTCTCTCTCTCTCTCTCTCTCTCTCTCTCTCTCTCTCTCTCTCTCTCTCTCTCGTGTCAATCAAATATTGTTGATTTTACAACTTGGTAGTATTTTACAAGAAGTGCACCCCAGTATGGGAATCTATAAGAAAATGAAGTCAGTACAGAAAACAAAACAAAAAAAACGGCAATAAATTAAGCTTTAAGGTCAAGATCTAGTAAATAACTTTAGACTAATTTTTTGGTGCTAGATCCATTATGAAATAATCAATTTCAACTTTCTTTTTCCCGACTTTACGGCTTTAAGATTATTCGAAAAATAGCATCACTTTTCATTTTTATATAAATTTGATATTTATTTAAAGAAGAGGCCATGAACATACTAATTACCGTTTTCTGAGAGATCAATCTGCATTTCCTTTGTCGAGCTCTATTCATAGTGAAAATGACAGTCTAAAATACAGTTTTTCATCTTGTTTACCTACAAATTATGCCCCGAAACACCTTATTTGACCAAGCTAAAGTTGTAAAGCATCAATAAAGGAATTTATTTCTGAAATTTAATAAATCTGTAGGCACCTTTGATTTCATGCTTAGCATCAAAATATTAATTTTTAGACATATTCGTACTAGAACATGTATTCAAATTATAAGTTGTTACCAAACTGTTATAACATTTCCATTTTTTTAACACCCCATCCCCTCTCCGAATTCTCAAAAAAATGAAGGGATGGATCCTGGAATTTTTACAAATTCAACTTAAATTACTTACGGTCATACGCAAAAGAATTCAAAAATCGTAAATCATCCTACTGTATATAAAAACTATATTCAAAAATTTTCTTTCTTTTCACAAAACAATTTGTGTAAAGGTTTTTTGACTGTAAGAACATCTTTGGTGTTTGTTGTCGTTTTCGTAGTATGATTATATACGACATATTTCCTAGTTTACACGTACGCGTGATTGAAGTATCACCGATTTGCTCAAGTGAAGGTGTTTCTTTGGCATTCGGATAAGGCAGATTTTCTGTCACTAAAAATTATCAGGTAGTGTAATTTATATGTGTGAAAATGAAACTATTACTGTGGGATAAAACGAAATCTAAATACTAGGAAATACTAGTAACTAATGTGCATTAAGGTCATACGCAACGTAGTTTAGACTTTATTCGGTTCTTCCCTGGAGTTGAAGAGTTTCACTAAACGAAGGACCTGTGTACAATACTTTTAATGTCTTTATAAGCATTTGTACACCTCTTCTAAAACAAATTTGGATGGAAAAAATATTTGAAAATTATGTTTTGTAATTTTTTAAAAAATTTTCTTTGAAATATGCAAAAATTGAATCATTTGATATCTTTTCAAAACCCCTAGTAATGTATGCTGATTTTTTGTCGTAGAACATGTAATGGTATTATAAGTTTAAACTTGAATATCTTGAAAAATTATCAGTAGGTAAGGTACCTTGCGTAAGTCCTTAATAGCTCTTCGTCACCACACTCAACTTACTTTCTTTTTGAAATACTGGTACATTTTCCCCCTCTACGTATATACATTTATGCCCATTTTAAATGTTCTTTGCAGATAACGTCCTATTTAAAAAAGGCCAACGCGAGGGCCTATGATCCACCGTTAATTGATTAATAAAATATATTGACCCCTCAAGTAAAAAGAGTCTTTTCTTAACTTTTTAATGTTGTAGGTATGATATATAAAAATAACAATTGAATTTATTTACCTCTCTCTGTAGTCTGTTAACACAGTTAGCAAATCTCTGAAAGGCCCCCGGACTTCGAATCTCTTGTCTGTATCTTCCTGGGAATGCTTGACGTTTGTGTCGCCCTCCTTTCTTGTTGTATTTCTCCACTGCTCTTGCTTCCGCCAAGATTTGTCGGAATAAACTGTTGATATAGTTAATTCCGTCTTCTGTAATGTTTGGCCCGGCCCATATCTTACCAGCAGATAGCTGCTTATATTGAAAATGCTTGTAGCAGAAATTCTGTATACTGGTGGCAACCGAATCTGATGGCGTCATGTTGTAAGAGCGTAGTTTGTAACATTCTTCTAGCTCGACCGGAAGTGGGATGGGCTTTAGAAGTGCAGACGACAGGCCGACAACTCCTAGGCATGTGACAAGAAACAAGATGTCCTTTCTCGTCATTTCTGCCTGCATATATTTTAAAGCATGAAACCATTGTTTAATGATTGCATTTGTTAATTTTGGCATAGGTTAATGAAATATAACAAGTTGCTGTCCTTTAAAAAAGGACTGCAATACGTGGACCATATGCATGTTTTTTCTAACTGAAATTCAATTTAAAAAATTTCTAGGCGTAGGGAATATTCATGTAGTTTGTTCACATTTTCTACAATGATCTGCCTACTTATGACTGATTGTAGTCTCAAAGCCAAATTGTTCAAATTTATCTCTCATTAGCGACCTTTCCTTTTGTCAGTTTAAAAAATCGGGTTATTTTGATACTTGTAACTCATACTGGCTGAGACTTGAACCTGTTCGGGATTTATACGGAAGAAATCTATTATGGGAAAAATAGAGATCCGATGGATGGTTCACGAGTAGCACAGCTCTGTAGTACGCAGACAATTTTTTGTCGTGACCCCCCTCCCCCCAACATTAAAAGCCGTTGCTACAGACCTTATCAAACGATATTTAGATTGCTGAAATATTAAATTATTTCGCGTGTCTTGATGCACAAAACTAATGCCGGTGAAATCTTTAAAAGCTAGAACTAGTCGCTTACTGACATTTTCATTCAAGTTGTAAAGTAACATGTATCTATATACTGCAACTTCTTATAATACTTGTACCATAGAATCAATGTTTAGGTTGTATATAAAAGTATATGTAAAAGATTGAAAATCGGATCCGCCAATAAATATGTAAATGCGATCTGCAGATTTTAAAGCGCGATTTGCCAATGAATGGCATATTTTAATTCGAATAGGGCGAATTATTCTACGGGCAAGTTACCTAAGGTTCTCTAGCATTCTCGCGCATGTCGTTTGCCCATGGCATCCGGTTTAACCTCGCTTATATATTTACTGCGTGGACCTCAGGGTCCACGCAATTATAAATTGTCTGATTGTCTGCCTGTGACGCGTTATGATTTGTTTTTACCTCGCAACATACAGAACAGCCACCTGCATGAAACTATTCAGACAGACTAATTAGAAATGCAGGCAATGAAAAGTAATTCGATTTCTGTTGCATGTTTTGAGCAGTCAGCTTTTTCTGTTAATAAAATGCATGCTCTGAAAACAATTTTTTGGACCTTTTTTCTTAAAGAGCAATATATGATAAGTGTCTCAAATGGCCCCTTAAAATGAATATCTTAATTTTAATTTATTTATAGCTTTACTTTGTACAGCTATACATGCGACCTTTATTGGTCATTTTCAATTTGATCAAAATACCGTTAATTTAAAAATATGATATCATAAAGTTCACGTTTTTCCGCAAGTTTAGCATATCTTGTATAAAACTGCTAATTTTCAAGCAGCTTTTCTTCCAGAAAATACTGAGCGCAGACTAGAACATACATGTACTTTATATTTTTACCAAAAATGTATCTATCCAATACTAATTACTGACAGAAAAATCATGCATGTTCTACGCTGCGCTCATTGTTTCCCCTAAAAAAAACATCGAGAAAAAGACATTTTTTTGGCTTTTTTAGATAGATTTTAATAAAAGCAGTATTTCTGTTGTCATTTACAGCCAGTGAGTGTATATAAATGTGAAATATATATTGAAAATATATCTAATATAATCTCTTCTACAAAATAACTATCAATTAAACATATCTAAGTATCATTCTAAAATGTAGGTTTTTAGGGGGCCAAAAATTCGCTCTTACCATATATAGTCCTTTCCAATTTTTGTCTGTGAGTGGTCGTGGAAACAACTCGACACAATTAAGTCATTTTGCGCTAACATCCATGCACGTGCGTTTCCGAAATAAATATACTTGAAACAAACTTTTTTTAAAAGCTAGTGCTAAACCAAACGCCAAATCTAAACATCGAAATCTAGGACTTAGAGAAGAAGACAAACTTTAATAAACTCAGACCAAATCTGCATCAGACGTAGTTGGAAATTATAAACAGAAATTAAATGTAGATCATGCATTTTGAGAAAACTTTCATAAAAATATACTAGTAATTCCTAGCACTAAAGGCGCATACACGTAACTGTTTTATATGTGGTTCGCAAAAAGTGCGATCAAAGATTAAAATTAAAGTAAAGTCAAATATAAAATACCTGACAAGTATTTAAGCGTTCAAGGTCAGAAAAAGCAAATTACATAAAAAATATGTACCTATATGAAATGTTTATTATATATGCTCTATAACATAACATGGAAGCATAAAATAAGACATAGTGTATATAGCAAAAATCCCCATGGTATTGAATTTCTACAACGTCCATAGATTCAAAAGCGGAAGAGTAAGGGAATTCTGTGTCAAATTCAATGTCGGGAAGGCTGGGGGGGATACAAGACTCAAATTAGATGTAAAAATTATTTCAATTATATTTTTTAATGGAGATAGAAGTGACCAGAATTAATTAGTTTGGTCAATATTGTGAAACCGAAAAAAGATTTTTAAAGAAAAGAAATAGAAAATAATCATTTTAAAAATAAGCAATATTCACGAAAATATGAAGCCACTAAGATATGCAAAAATTTTGATTTGTTATTGGATTGTTCGAGTTTTAGCATTTTTGGCGGATAAATAACTGTCAGTGTTATTTGTTTATATATTACTTACCTTTTGGTTTATATCCAGCAATCTATGTCACATCAAATCGTAATGTTGGGTATTTATATGGTTGAGTTTGGGAAATTCGAATTTTTTGAATAAGTAATTTGGTGGGCGGAACAATTTTTAGATTACAGATGTTTTTTTTTTTGTTTTTTGTTTTTTTGTTTTAAGAAAACATATGTCTACGATATTTTAAATGGTACAGTTGAGTAATCGCATGTGTTATCAAGAGGTGACCTGAAAAAAATAAACGCAATTTGGGTATTTTAAAAAGAAAACAAACAATTTTTTAGGCAATACTATAAAAATTAACTCCGACATAGACGTTATATGGATGTTTCATGGTTTTGTGGGGCACTTTATTTTAAAAGAAATTATGAGTATATACATTTTTTATATCATGCATGCTCAACTGGCATTACAGGGTGATAAAATATATGTCTAAATAGACATCTTCATTGGTTTACTCTGACGTACTCAAACGTATTTTTGGAATGGTAGAAACGTGCATCGTACTTTGGACATTGTAATAAATGTCTAGCACAATATAATGGATTAATGAAAAAGAAATAAAAATTGAAAAATATTTTTGAAAATGCTCAACAGAAATGGTATAAAGGTTGTGATAAGGATTAATACAAAAATATTATACATGATCATCGAATGTTTTTTATAGCGAATGTTTTATTAACGTTAATTATTTTAGCTAACTACATTTTAATGCTGATATGCAGATTCCGACATACATATACTTAATTTTGTTTTGTTAGGACTGTTAAAAATCGCTTAACGTTAATAATATACACTCAGTGATATACTTTTTAAAATAGGATACTTGACTAATGCACTACAAACGGGGATTAGTCCGTTTTTTTTTTAATACCAAATTTTGAAGCAGGGATTAGCTTACTTTACTCACACGCATGCGTAAGAAAAAGGGAAGTAGTTTGGTCCTGACACAATGATATTCACATTTTACTCCAAAAGAAAACCGTTAGTTTGCCATTTCAATTTGGAGAAAAAAAAGTAACAGATAATCTGTTTGGTTTGTCTTAAGAAGGATATGCATTGAGTGCAGATTGAAATATTCAGTCTTATATATAAATTTATTGTAATGTATGTATATAATGTATGTAACATTGAGAGAAAAATCTTAACATACCAGTATAATACGCGTAGGCACTCTCCACTGAAAAATTACATAATTTACCGACAAAAATCCATCATCACGATTATAATGATGTATCGCATCCATTTTATGGTTTGATGCAAATTTAAAGGTTATTAAACCGTGTATATAAATTTTAAAGGTTAATAAACTGTGAGAATTTTTCGTCTAAAAATGTGAAGAAGAGAAAATATAGAATATAGATGGTATTACATTACATTCCAAAGACATGGCGGTCACATTAAAATTAAAACTTCAATACAAAAATAAGAATAGTTATCTTAAAAGTATAGTATTAAGTTGATCCTCAAAAACTTCAGGAAAAGTGTAAAATTTTTAATAAAATATTGAAACAACTTGTCAGCTAATTATATTCATTATAGTTCATACCTTTGTCCGAAAAAATATATGCAGATTGTAGGACAGATAAACTTATCAAAAAATTATAAAATATGATTCCCAATCGCTGCAATGAAATTGAAATCAATAGTCTCGCTAGTTATTCACCAAAATATTTTATGAGAAACGGTGCAGAAGAAATATGCACATCACAAACTTTTCTCTGAGAGTGTTATTATGGGCACTATGGACTATATTGAAAAGTAGGTCAAAGGTCAAGGTCAAAGACACGAGGTCTGGTAACCTGTATTTTAAAGTTGTATTATTATTATATGCCTCATATAGTATCAATCAATATATGTGCGAAATATTAAATCATAACTCTTAAACGTGATAGACGGACAAACGCCAACAGACGCCGGGTATTAGGAATACATGTACATAGCTCAAACAAACGTTCTTATCTCCCACACAGAAGAGCTACGTTAGTATTTCCTTTTCAATATTTCTTTCAATGGAAATGTAATTCATAAATTTTAATTGTGTAAAGTGTTAAAATGCACCCTTGAAAATGTCCATAGAAACTTTGGAGGAAGAAAACTGCATAAATTTTATAAACTTGTCCTTTTCCATATACATGTATGCTGTATCAGCCCGAAACACCACAATCAGATTGAGGACCGAAAGCCCTAAAGCTGATATTGGCCGAGTGGTGATACAGGATGTGTTATGTGGAAAATAGATGTTTTATTATGTTTTAAATACATAACCTTTTCCATATCACATCCTGTATCATCTTACACAAAATTAATATCAGCAAAAGGACCGGAGGCTGATAATGGTTGAGGTCTGATAAAGGATGTGATGTGGAA